AGAGGAAAATGGTTTTCCAAGGAGCAATTATCAACTTCCATGTTGGCTCCAGGGAGTGTAAATCAGGAACATGAATACTCCGCCGCTGAGTCCAGGAAACTGCCACAAAACGCCCAGCCTTGTCCTCCACTTCTGCGCTGCTCCTGCGATCGAATGGAACAATCCCAAATTCATTTCATTTTGCTTAGACAGCAGGGGCCGGACAAAAGGGGCCAACAACGCAAATTACCCCCTTGTCCTTCTCTCTCTCTCTATACGTATACATACACCAGCTGCTTCCAAGGGCTGCTTCCAAGGAGTCACCAATGGATATCCCCACAGTACTCTCACACGACGTAAAGGTCTCCATTGGACCAACCTTGGAAGCGCTAGGTTCCCAGCAACCCTTCAACCTTCAGACTTTCACCATTTTCACCACTGTTGGTTGATGGCCAGGGAGACTGCCGAGACTGCCCGACCACTCTGATTGTCAGCGATCGACATCTCGGGCAGATCTGGCACCTGTGGACGTGGTGGAGGTGTTCAATAGTCGTCATATATTGGAAAGGCCGTTCTTGTATATGATAAGGTGTTTGATAGATTTTGGTCATACGAATTAGGCAAGGCGGGGCGATGATTCAACAACCCCCCCCCAACACACACACACACACCAGTATGTATGTGTCAGCAAAACGAAGGTGTTGAAGAATTTGTTGGGCAGCAATAGCAGAAACTGAACCGAAGACCCGAAAACCGCAAACCCCATCCCTTCCAAAACCCTTAACCCCACGGCCCGAAAGAGGCCGTAGCAAGCGTCCTGCGGACGAGGCCCAAGGCGTCGACGAAGTCGGAGGGCTTGATGCTCAGCGAACTGGCCTGCTTGGCTCTGAGCAGCCCGGGGTCTGCGACCAATTTAGGACGAGGCGTTGGGGTTAGATCGGGGCTTGAAATGTCCAATTGGATCCATCTACTGTATATATGTCCACTTAAAGGTTCAAGGCGTTTAGTATTTGGATGTGCTGCTTAGTGGCCTGTCTTGAGATATAACTTCTGTAAGTGAAGATATAAATGACTTCTTTTTATGACAACTACTTATCATCACTTACTAACTATGACACATCAGTTGCTTTGTGTTGTAACTATGTAAGCTAGTTGCTATCTAATTTGATCTAATTTGTAACTACTTATGCTAAGTGTGAGCAAAGTACTTACCACACATACAAGCCCGCCCCCAAGTCAAGGACAAGGTCAGGAACACAGATGCGGCGAGCAGCTGCTGGCGTCGCCCTACTTCAGGGTACGCCTCCCCCGTCGAGAGCCGTCGAGAGTTTGTGGTTGAACGGGACAACTCATGCAAACAGCAGACATGTCATGTGGAGTTTCATTCGCTTGCAGTTGCTTTTACCGGTGAAGTCTGCAGTGTTTTTCGAATGGGCTATTCAGAATGTTTCTTGCTTTGACATTGCTTTCATGAGGTTTCCTGTTGTCATGTGACGCGACATGGCCAGACGTGACATGGTTTCCTGTTTTCACGTGGCATGACATGGCATGACATGGCGCGACATGACATGGTTTCCTTTTTGCATGTGACATGACATGGCATGACATGGTTTCCTGTTTTCATGTGACACGACATGGCGTGACATGACATGACACGGCCATGACATGACACGGCGTGACATGACATGTCATGTGGAGGACTCCGACATGTCCTGCGTGACGGAAAAGCACAAACATTTCTGCAGTCAGATGTGTGTTCAAAGAACTTGAAGTATCTTTCATACCGAGGAACCATGAAGGTGACATGACAAACATGTTCACATGAAGGTGACAATCTCAGAACATGAATTTCATGTGACAAACTCTCTGACTTTACACATGCATGAGGCATGAGTCTCAGAACAAGCATGAGCGTCATGAAAGGTCCCAATCTCACAAACATGTTCACGCACTTCACAAACTTGATCACACTTGACCACTCCTCTCACAAACGTGTTCACACACGTTCGCAAATCTCACAAACATGTTCACATCTGACCACTCCTTCACTCCGCCCATGGCACTTCCCCGTCACGTGTTGGATGGAATGCAAGAGCTCCTGCGCAAGGAGCCTGAGAAGTTGGTGAAGACCGTGCAGTCCTGCCTGGACTTTTTGACGGAGCACGGCGTGGTCACGAAAATGAAGCTGCCACCACTGGCAGTTGGAGTCCACAAATCAGCCGTGATGGTTGTGGAGTGAAATTAGGAGACGTTCACGAGCTCATCGATAACATCAGTGCTTGGATGGGTGGATGCCAAAGTGGCTGGCATAACAGTTGAGATTGAGGATTCGCACAAACCCTTCAACCACCAGATCTGCTCGGAAGCTGGTGGTGGTTTGGGGGGCGGTGCAGCCCAACCAGCTGAAGGCGGTTACCCTATGTTGGCAGTCACACCAATTATGCTCTCCGCTTGATCGTGCAGGAAGTCCCACATCAACAAGGCCCCATCACCCAGGATGGCAAATTGAGCTTAAGCTTGCTCCAGAAACACGACCAATCCTTGCACAAGGCCGCTACCCATGGGATTACCTTCCAGGTCTTGAACAAGGAGGTCGCCCATCGATGGCCAGAGTTCCTGCCGATGATTCAACAATACGGGAATGCAAGTTGCGAAAACAAGAACACGAACTGCAGATGCAGTGCCGGCTTCGTGCTTTGTAATTGGCGGCTGAGGCAAAAGGGGGCTCGTTCGCTGACATCAAACGGAAGGCTTTGCACATTCGACCGCCTTGTGCCGCTGCAGTACCAGCTTTGTACAGCTTTGTTCTCAGAGCCCTTGGTGGCAGTACAGGTGAGCTCCTCAAGCAGACAGAGCGCTTCGTGAGACAGCGATGTTCTTCGGCGAGGTCGTTGGGGGTAGATCTTTGGAGGCCTTGGCTGCAGAGCCTAACGGTTTTGCTTCTGCTGGCTCTTTGACCTTGTTCACGCATGCAATGGTGAAACTGGCCTACTCGTCGAAGAAGGTGGGCAAGGCCGAATGCAAGAAGATGTTCAGTCAGGACATCAAGGGTGATGTGGTCACTGCAGGTGCTTTGCAGCCAACACGTTCAATTGTATACTTCACACGCCTCACATGTGCATACATCAGCTCACATGTGCATGATATGAGGGGATGAATGACATGACAGTATACATGGCATTCCAGCAAACATTGGAATCATTGGAAGTCGTCCTTTTGATTCCACTTGATGTACTTTAGTTGGTGCCGTGGAAAGCCATGAGCCTAAGCCAATTTGGTAGGCGCTCATTTGTCTCACTCACAGGCCTCGAGAGCATTCTCAAAGACATCGAAAGTCATGGGCTGCCAAAGGCTCATTCACGGACAGCTCGCGAGAAGCAAATCGAAGAGTACTAGACTTCCTACGGCCCTGTCCTTCAAGCTCTTGAGGTGCCTCTCAGTGACGGCAGTGGAAACACAACTGCAATGATCACCCTCCTCACCCAGACCGCAAATGGCAGTTCGCTGTATACACGGACGAGGTCACAGCAGGTAACGCTTTGAAGCACAAAAACAGGCTCCAGGTGCGCTACTTCAGTGTGACTTGATTCCAAATTTCCAGCGCTCACTTCCCGGCCCAAGGTGCAAATGTGTTTTGACATGCATAACTTCAGTCATTCTTGCCAGGTGCTTGAGCTGGGTTCCTGGGCCCTTTCGAGAGGCATTCTGGTTTTGCCTCTGTGCGGTGAAGTCGAGCACTGTTCAGAAGATTGGAGGTATGAGCATGCTCATGCCTCATCTTCTTGACTTGTTTCGCAGGCCTTTTGACACCTCTTGTGGCATCTACTTGCAGCATGAAGATAGGCGGGTCATGTTCTTTGGACAAGTGGCGCTGCACATTGGAGACGAAGTGGCATGCAAGTGTGTCCTGGGTGTTCAGGGAGCAGCCGGGACAGTTTTGCGCTTGCTGCCAGAATGGTGTTGACTTCAAGAGTGCTTTGCGTGATCACGATGACCGGCTCATACCGTCAACATGCCTGGAGTTCTTGAGGTTCCGTCAGCACACAATTGAAAGCGTCAGGGACGCACATCAACTGTTGTGTGAACGTCATGAGGTTGAGACTGCTGCAGGCTTCAAGCTGTTAGAGCAGAGCCTAGGTTTCAACTGGCATGAACGAAGCCTGTTGAGCATCCCTCGCCACCAGAACCTGCGGAGGTTCGACTGGTTTCAAATCTATTTTGTGCATGGGGTTGCTTCCATTCATGCTGCTCTCACAATAGCAGAGCTCCACAAGGGAGGTCACCAGGCTCAAGACATAGCATCGTTCGTTCAGGCCTTTGTGATGCCGCGTCGACTTCAGGGAGCCAGGCCTAAGGCTTGCCTGGAGAAGCGGTCCAACAAGACAGATCTTTGAAAGGAACCGCTTCAGGGACGATCAACTTCCTGTTGATCCTTCGGTGCTATATTCGACCTTTTGTTCTTGATAACTGCAGCCCTGCACTCAGAAGTTGTTGCAAGTCCTTCCTGCACCTGTGTAACATCACGGACACGCTTCTTCAGAGTTGGAAAACCAGAGTAACACGTTCATTCACAAACAAGGCCGTTTGTTTTTCAGAGTTCACGCCATGCCACATCACATCATGTCACTTTTATTGGGGTGTTTAAACTATTAAACGTGTATTGAGCCATGTCGTACAGCATGTTGCTTCATGGACATGTCATGGGAGGGTCATGTCACGTCATGTGGCAATGACATGTCTTTGTTTTTCTTCATGTCATGGGAAATACGACTGTTGTCAGGTGTTCAATGCCAATGTATCACGTTGTTTTATGCGAGGGTTCAACAAGTTTGAGTTTATATGTTCTGTGCACTGTTCACAATCTTTCATGTGATGTTGATGTCACGAGTTTATCCAGGGAATCGAAAGGGTCTTTGCGTTTTGATTATAGCCGTCATTTTAAACCAGCACACCGCACACCTGTTGAGACAGGGTGGTCACCAAATTTCTACCTGTTCCACAGCTGCTTGCATTTGCCATCCATGTGGAGAAAACATCAAGTGCTCCTGGCATGCTTCTGCCAGGAGAGGAAGCACCGCATGGTGAAGCGCATAGTGACCCAAGTGAACAACCCTGCCCGGCAACTTGAAAAGAGTGTCATGCAGGACACTACTCTGAGACAATTCGAGATGGAGGATGACGAGGTTTCGATTCCATGCGACTGGCCATGTTTGTTGGAGGCGCAGCCGGCTTCATCAAAGATCTCTGACATGATTTCGACGGCCCTTCAATTTCCTGCCGCTGTTAGTGCCAAGTCTCCACGAAGGGCATCACCGGCGGCAGCTCTGAGGTGGCATGGGGCGATGTAGTTGTCTTTGTTGAGGCCACGGTCGACCGCAAACATGTTGGCAGAGTCAGGTGGCTCTGTCAAGTTGAGGACACATGCATGGCATGCCTCGACGTGTGGGAACATGTGGCGAAGTCTCTGTATAGAGTGGTCGACAACTGCCAGCTTGTGCCTCTTGCATGTGTCACAGACACGTGCATGCACAGCATGAAGGAAGGGGGAGCGCTGGTGATCTGCAGGGTGAAAATAAGGCTTCTGCATCAAGCTGTTGACATGTTCACGGGGTTCACATGACCTGCTGTCAACATGTTCATGGGGTTCACATGACATGCAGTCAACACGTTCATGAGACCCACATGACGTGCAGTCAACGTGTTCATGGGATCATATGACATGCACTGGCCCCCTTGCAGGTGACGCCAGCGGCTGCCGTGCCCAGGAGGGAAGAGCGGCTCACACAGGGTTGGAACCCTTTTAGGGAAACACTTAGGAAACTTACTAACTGCTCTAAATGCACATAGCTAAGTGTGCTAAGTGTTTTCGTACGTGTTGTATATGGTTAGTATGTATACTAAGTGTTTACTAACCACGGTGGACCTCTAAGCAATATATGTCCATGTATACGTCGGGCATGGGCGCATAGTGAACCACCACAACCACAACCAAATGCCAATTAAAGGTACGATCAAAGAAATAAAAATCTTAGTGCGAAGCTGGCGGATCCGGTGGCACCCGCGGCGCCGAGAAAAACGGCGGTGAGCATGTGAAACCCATGAGTTGGGAGAAGCCTCAGTGTGATGAATTTGCACAGGACTCTCCGAACATCTCCACAAAAAGGTCTTTGACTGGCGGATCCGGAGCCCTTCATACTTAGGTGCCATCTTAACACCACACAAATTGAACGCATATAACATCGTGCAGCGATTCACCGGGAAGGTTTGTCAGCCAGAGTTGGTTCTATCAACAGGGATCCTGAACCAACATGAACCAACAAAAAGTCACCCACTAAAGCATGCCACACTGAAGGTTCTACAGTGAGGGATCGGAATTCAAAACAAAAAGCACCAGCACCACTCAGCTCAAATTGTTAAAATCATGCTATAGTAGCTGCTAGTGGGGGTCTAGAAACCACCGATCTGGGCACTCAAATCGAAAGGCAACACTACTCCTCCACATGCTCAGGGGAGATCTTAAGGTCCACACCCGAGAATTCCCGCCTGGACCAAGAGTTGCTTCACCGACTCCGACTGGTTCCATGCCACCTGCCGTCGCGGACGCCGTCGCGGACGCGAGGAACTCGTCGCCCAACCCGCGGACCGTTGGACGCGAGCGGTGCGCCAGCAGATGGACGATCGCCAGCAGATGGACGGTGCATGGGCACTGCGATCGCGAGATCTTGCGAATCTCCGTGGGCACTTGGATGTAGTCTTCAAGTGGAGCCGTCCGCTCACCATGAGGACTGATATGGTCTGATGTCTAGATCTGATCTAAGAACTGATTGGATTTGGATATCTCATCTCCAGTGCTCTGGATGTCTTATTCCAAGTCCCTTGGACTCCAAGTCGGGTGTCCCCATGTGATGGCATCGAGCACATTTGGTCCAGGGATCTGTCAGCTGGGGAAGTCTGCAGGGGATCTGTTTGAGAATCTGTACAAACAGAACATCACTGCGAATCACATCACTGCGGGGCAGAGTAGATCAGATTTGTATTTGTCAAATCAAAACCTCTATGAAAATATCAAGTATCTGTAGGGCAAAATAGAGTAGACCACATTGGAATGAAACTGTGGCAGTTGAAATGGACCACCAACCTCCAAACTTTGTTTGCAGTCAGGTGCACAAAACGAGAAGTGTACTTGAAACCACTCAGGTGAAACTCGCCATTCGATAAACATCGTTTGGCTCAAGGTTGCGCGGAGAAAAGGATCCGTGCAGCACCACACGACACACCCAACCTTCCCTAGGTTATGAGCCCAACCTGCTGACGGGTTGTGGCCGGTAGAAGTCCACCCTGTTTTTTCAGGTTGTTGGTCCCCATGGAGCAGCATCGAAGACGCAAGCAACAGCGCTCTAGGGAGCGAAAAGAAGAAGCTGCTGCAAAGGAGGCTGTTGTGAAGGAGGCTGCCGCTGCTACACCTCGGCTGGAGGTGGGAGTCGCTGACCGAAAGCTCGACGCCTTGATCGAAGAGGAGCTTCGCTCGAGGGCCAAGTCGGTGCCGGCATCGTCGTCCACGGCAGAAATGAAACGCTTGGGAGCTTCCGCTGCGGAGTTGTTGAGGGCACCGCAAGGACCACCTGTGACCTACCATCCTCAACCTGCACAAGAACAAGTACACCAATTGGTGATGGATCCTAGGGGACAGTCGATGGGTTTGGGGCATCTCCAAGAAGCGGTGCGCCACTCGTTTGAAGTTCTGCAGAACGCACTACGAGGACCTCAACAACAGGGTCCGACTCTACTTGATCCACTCCTTCGCCAAGCTGATCAGGGAGTCCCTCATGTGCACGATCATGGAGGTCCTCCAGGGCATGCGTTGGCGGCTGGAACCCCGGTCAGGGATGTGAGATCCGATCGGGATGGATCTATGGTTTCTCCAATGGTGGGATCGGTGGGCCGCGAAGCTCTCCATCCAAGAACGCTGGATCCCTATGCGGCGGCAACTCCGGTGGGGCCTCTCAGCACTGTGAATCCTTTTTGGAGCACTTCACTTCAACAGGCTGCAAAAGGTGAAGGGCATGTACGTATGGCTGAAAGCAGTGGAAAGAAACCTGCACCTTCCAGTCCCGGAGCTGGCGATGTGGAGAAGATCCGAGCTCAGATCTTGCGGGAGGCGGAGGATAAGTTCGCTCGTGAAGTCAAGAGGTTGACTGATGGTGGAGCACCTGGTGATGCTTCGTCCTATGCCTCGGCCGCGAGCGCTGGTATTGGTGATGGAGGCCGTGCTCTGCCTGAACCTCCGGGACTACCTCCTGGTGATCCTGTGGGTGCGGGAGTTCCGCCATGCACCAAACCTGACCTTCCTCCAGGACTTCATGCTGGACGACCTCAAGGTGACTCTACTCAGCCTCCGGTGATTCCGGAAACTGTGAGGAGCTTGGACCTTCCGAGCTTGCCTCATCCCTCAACTGAAGGAGCTGCACTTCAATATGGAGATTGGTTGACTATGACCTATCCGTTGATGGCAGACCTCTCGGCGACTTCTCAGTTGTGGTGGGATGGATGCTTGGCTGCAGCTGGTGAACTCTATGAGAAGTGGCTCACTGCTACTCCTTTGGAGCGCCTTCGCTTGCGCCCTGTGGAGAACATCGACCCTGTCCACCAACGTGTTGAACAGCGTGGTGTATCGCTCCTCCTGAGCATCTTGCCCGACCAGCTTCGAAGAGATGTGATCGCCAACAGGAAGGTCACAACGGTCAGCATCCTTTTTCGACTTCATGTCCTTTTCCAGCCTGGAGGAGGTGCCGAACGAACTACACTGTTGAAGTGTTTGACGGAAGTGAAAACATCCAACAACATCCAGGACCTCTTGGTGACTACAAGGACCTGGCGACGATGGCTCCAGCGAGCAGAAGAGCTTCGTTTGACCCTGCCTGACCCGTTGATTCTCATGCAGGTGTTGGGGCGCATCATGGACTCCCTGTCGAAATTGGGAGGAAGTCAAGTGGCCTACCGGGTGTCTTCGGTGAGGCAAGAATTGCTGGTGGATCTGAGGCCCGAACTTCAGTCCATCAAAGATCTCAGTGAATACTTGCAGGCGGAGATGGAGGACCTGTCGCTTATGGTGGTGGCCCCAAAAACATCGGCTACAACATCATCGACTCCGTCTAGCCAGACCGCTGCACCTGTTGTGAAAGCAATGCACTCAAGCCAAGGCCAAGATGAGAAGCCGAGGTCGCCGTGCAGATTTTGGGGCTCTCAGTCTGGGTGTCGGAGGGGGGACACGTGTGGCTATGCGCACTCCTGGGATGGACTGGATCGTCAGCAAAGATGTTTCTTCTGTTCAGGAGAAGGTCACATGATGAAAGATTGTCCTCACCGTCAACAGAGGGGCACCAAGGATTTCAAAAAGAATGCCAAGGTGAAAGGCGTTGGTGAGGAGGTGTCGAAGGACAGTCCTACCAAGGAAACACAATACAGAAATTCTGAGGCTTCGGGAACTACATCGTCTCCGAGTTCATCGCTCTTGTCATCGCCAACGGTGTCTGGAGGTGGATCGGGAAAGAACGGTGGTGGGTCGCCGGAGAAGGAGTTGGGGGGTGACCAAAAGTCAAAGGTTGACTCCGCTTCTGTCCTCCTTGATGAAGCAACAACTCTCCTCAAGACGCTCAGGACCCTGAAAGCGGTTCGCCTGAAACAGGTCTTTGTGGAGCCCGTGAACACAAGTCTTCAAGGTTTTGCACTCCTTGACGGAGGGGCAACACATGCCCTCCGAACTGCACATCCTGATGAAAGGAGCGAGATGACTCCCATCGAGGTTGAACTTGCTACAGGTACTACAGTTTTGTATCGCCATCCAAAGCACCGCACCCTTTTGTCCTTGGAGGAGGTGGAGCCGATCATCCCATTGGGGCTTCTGGTTGAACGGGGCTACAAGGTGGAGTGGCGAAAGACGGGTTGCAGTATCCGTCACCCAACACTCGGTGCGATCGACTGCTGGCTTCGATCTGGCTGCCCGATCATGCATCGTCAACCTGCTTTGGACATGCGCTCCCAGATTGAGCTCGAGGATCGGGGGGAGGTGGCACTTTCTGAGGAGGACCGGCAGTGGTGGCAGAAGCATTTTCCTGAACTACCACATCCTGTTCTTCAACACATGGCTGGACAAAGCCAAGATCCAACTACAACGCCCTGGAACCGGAGAATTCGGAGGGCACACCTCACTGGAAAGGGGGTCATTGTACACCTATTCAGTGGTCCTGATGTGAAGAAGTGGAATTGTGTTGGCGGAGGAGCATACTCTTGGCTGTGCATTGACACGGAGATCAACTCCTCGTTGAACCTGCGCAACCCGGCCGTTTGGGGCTATTTGTGGAAGCTGGCGTCTTTGGGACGCATCGTTGCAATTGTTGGAGGTCCTCCTTGCAGGACTGTGAGTCGCCTTCGAAACCGGTCACCACCAGGACCTCGTCGCCTTCGTGGTCGAGGAGAAGATCGCTGGTGCCTCAATGACCTCTCGGAGGAGGAACTTCGCCTGGTTCATGGCGATACAGCTTTGTGCATGAAGCACATGGGTCTATGGATCCGAGCTCAAGAATGCCGCAGAACATCGACGAATGTTGGCATGCTGTTGGAATCACCGCGAGATCCTGCTGAATATCTTGCTGGTGAAGAAGGTGGGCAAAGCGCTTCTTTCTGGTGCTTCCCGGAGCTGATGGCTTGGGTTGGAACTGCTGGCCTTCGCTTGGTCACTTTCGATCAAGGAAAGCTGGGTCACCAGAGGAAAAAACCTACGACAGTTTTGACTAACCTTCCTGCCTTCCAAGAACTACATGGCCTCCAAGGCGATGGTTGTGATGACAGACCACTCCCGTCGAACCTCGGTGACCGCATTCGCACTTCGAAGACCTGGGCAGCATGGGCACCAGGCCTTGTGGGAGCGATTCAAGAAGCTTTGAGGAGGTTGCTGGGCGTTTTGGAGGAGGAAAAGGGGGCTGGAGGTGGTCACCATGTCTCCAAAATGGACCTTGCAGCTTGGCATCGACACATCAAACAGGGTCACATCCCCTTTCGTGCTGACTGCCGCATTTGTGGGGAAGCTATGGGCTGCGACAAACCACACAAGAGGCTTGGGGGGAGCGCCACGAAGTTCACTATGTCAGCCGACCTTTGTGGACCGTTTCCTGAAGGGAAAGATTTGGGCACAGGAGTCATTTGCAAGTACGCACTGGTCTCAACTGTGGCCGTCCCCATCATCTCTGAGCTTCCAGGTGAGGTTACTGAGCCATGCGACACCGCCAAGGATGTGGAGCACACGGAGGAGATTCCCTGCGAGCCAGAAGACCGTGACCTAGTCCCTGAAGATGAAGTCCGGAGGCTCAATGAAATGGCTGAGATTGAGAAGTCTCAAGAACCGCAAGGACATCAAAATGTCACTCTGGCTGAAGTGATTCCTGATCGCACGGTGGAGTCACTGGTCCGTGCTTTGTCCCGCTTGCACGCCAAGTACCGCATGCTGGGCATCCAGGTCTACAGATTGCACACAGATCGTGAACGATCATTTGCTTCAGCACCAATTCAGAAGTGGTGTGAACAGCGACAGATTCGCTTGACTATGACGGCTGGCGATGATTCCAAGGCCAATGGCCGTGTCGAAGGAGAAGTGAACCAACTCAAGCGCCGCACCAGGTTGTTCCTTCATGATGCTGGACTACCTCACTCCTTCTGGCCAGTTGCCCTTCGCCATGCTGCCGAACAACGTGTTCGACTACAACTTGAACGACTTGGGCTGGAAAGTCCTCCTATGCTTCGCTTCGGAGCATCAGTTTTGGTCAAATCCAAACGATGGCATCGTGCAGGTCAGCTCTCTATGCCATACCGAACTATGCAACTCCTTGGTCCCTTCCCATACATGTCGCATGGCTGGATTGTCCGGGACAAGAAGGGCCAATTGTTGCACGTGCGCACTGCACTTGAACCATCGCCGGTAGCCGATCAGGCGATCATGGAACTCCAAGAGGTGCCTGCCGTGAAGCATCGCATCGCTGGAAAACACCCACCTCCACTACCTGACCATCCCTTGGCTGGCCGCGTGGGAGCGCTCTATGAGGAGTCGGTTCCAGCTCTAGCAACTTGCAGAGCTGGGGGGGAGGACTCTTTGGATTCTTTGGACTGGTCTTCATCGTTGGATGTTGGCAAGTCGCTTTCTGTCAGGCTTGAGCCACAGGGGGAGTTGGAGGAGGTGAATGGTGGCCACAAACTACATGATAAAGTTGAACCTGGTGATGAACTTTTGCACCATGACCTTCAGGGGGAGGTCGAAGATCCACTGCTGTGTGATTGGCAGCAGGTGGAAAAGTGGCATGAGCTTGAACAACAACGACACTGGGCGCTCAAACAGCTTTGGTGTCAAGGCCTTCGTGAAGTTGCAGTTGGTGAGAACTCCGGCAGTGTCCATGGCAGCTGGCTTCATGAAGTTGAACTACTCCTCAAGGGTGCTGAAGATCAACTGTCGTTTCAGCACTCTGCAATCGAGAACTTCAAGCTGTCGGCATTGGCTCCATCAATGGGAACCCCAGATGCTCCAGCAACAGTGCTTCAGACCTATACGGTCTCACTACAGCAAGTTCGCAGGGAATTGGAAAAATGGAAACCTCCTCTGCGTGATGAATATGGACAGCTGGTGTCCTCAACTCAGGCAATCAAGCCTACTACAGAGGAAAAGTTGCGCCTGGATCCAAGATTTCCCACTATGGAGCTGGCTCCAGCGATGCTTGTTCCTACAGTCAAAAGTCCTCATGGACGTCTTCGAGCTCGGGTGGTCATTTGTGGAAACCATCTCACCAAGGTCAATGAAGAGAGCAACAACTCTGCAGGTGAGACACAGCCCAAGGACTCAAACCCGTTCTCGCTCTATGCAGGTGGAGCAGATGGAACTACGTTGCGCTGCTTGATGAAATGTGCGGCTGAAAACTCGTGGTCAGTCGGCACGGTGGACGTCAAAACAGCCTTCCTTCTTGCACCACGACCTGACGAACAAGAACGTCTGCTAGTCGCTCGTCCACCAAAGGTGTTAATTGAAGCTGGAATTTGCGACGCTGCGGAACTTTGGGAGATCTCGCATGCCGTCTACGGGCTGAACGATGCTCCAGCAAATTGGTCGCAGTACCGTGACCGTGAACTACCTCAACTGCGCTTCTCGGCAGGAGGTCATGACTACCAACTGGTGTCCACACCGGAGCCAAACCTTTGGAAGCTGATCAAAACCGACCCTGGTGCTCTTCCGCAGGAGGACAACTCTGAAGGCTTCCTCGCTGTGTACGTTGATGACATGCTTGTTGCTGCACCAGGTCCCTTGGCAAAGTCGGTGATCGATGGGATTAGGGCTCATTGGCGGTGTTCGGAACCAGAGTGGGCAACGGCAGAAAAGGCCATCAAGTTTTGTGGCTTTGAGATCAGCTGCAGCGACGATGCGGTGATCCTCAACCAGGCCTCATACACTCGAGATCTTTTATCTCGCCATGAAGGAATCAAACCACGTCAAACGCCTCTTCCTTTGGGAGTTCAAGATGAAGTTGAAGCTGATGTGCAAATCTCTCAAGTCCGACGAGCTCAAGCTTTGGTCGGAGAACTTCTTTGGTTGAGTGGCCGCACAAGACCAGATCTTTGCTACGGTGTCTCCATCATGGGACGTTTGGTGACGAAGGCACCGACCAAGGTTCTGGAGTGGGGTGCTCACATGTTGGGCTACTTGCAGCATACAGTGGACTATGAGCTTCGCTACACCAAGCAGGTGGTTGAGTCGTCCCTTGATGATTGTGATGCTGCCAAAAAGCCCTGCCTGAAAGTGTATTCAGATGCTTCTCATGGACCCCAAGGAGGACGAGGACAGCAAGGTCTTTTGGTGACCTACAATGGCTCTCCAGTGCAGTGGGAGAGCAAACAACAACCATTTGCAACTCTTTCAAGCGCTGAGGCCGAGCTGATGGGCTACGTTGATGGAGTTGTCATCGGAGAGTCAGTCGCCTCAGTAGTCAATGTGCTGGAGGACAATCGTCTTCATCTCCAAGGCCAACAGGTCCTTTGCGGTGACTCTCAAACTGGCTTGAAGATTTTGGTCGCCCCGGATGGACCCTGGAGAACAAGACACCTTCGTTTGAGGGCGTTCGTTGTGAAGGAACGCATTCAGCAGAGCTGCTGGAAAACCCAACATGTTCCAGGTGCCGAACTTGCCTCAGACCTGCTCACCAAACCAATCGTCAACCCGACGCTGTGGCAGAACTTTTACACCTTCATTGGAGCTCGTGTGTTGTCCAAGGATGTTGACCGAGATCCAGGTGCATCGCTGTCCAAGTCAAGGTTGATGGCTATTCTGGGCGGCATCATTGGCATGGCGGCATGGAACCCTTCGCAGGAAAGTCACAAGGTGGCGAGATGTGTCACCATCTCAGCTTTGGTAGCTGCACTTGCAATTTGGTGGAAAAAAGACACAAAAGACCCCACAAAGACCAATGGGCACCTGACGGTCGATTCGCGGGCGGGGGCACCCATGGGAAGCGAATCGGTCGAAACAAGAAAGTCAAGATCGGTGAGGGAAAATGAACCCACCGCACGGGAGGGACTGGGGGGGTTGGGACCTAGCCTAAATGGCTATACCTCGGCCGCGTCTCGTGCGTGCGATCATGGCGTGCGGCTGGCTGCGCTTGGGGCTCGTGCTGGGCCGGAGCAGCCGGAAGAGCGGATTTGGGAGTGGTTCCCATTCCAGCTCCCTCCGCAAGGCCGCGACCGCTGGGGGCGATTGCGCTATGGATGGTGGGTGAGGCATCATGTGAAGCCTCGAAAACGACCTTTCCACCCACTACACAGGATGACGCCCTTCAACAGTGCATCCATCCGACACCAAAGGGTGACTGTTGTTTGGCACCATGGAGAGAAAACCATCTTCTACGACGACTGGAGGAGTGGCATTGGCCCTGTCTTGCCTGACCAGGATCAATGGGTGGGATACACCTTTTTCCGGGAGATTCCGTCCCCAGACAACAGCTTGGGACAAACAACAACTTCCACCGATCCACAGTCGAGCAGCTCAGGTCCACCTCCGGTTGATGACACGCTGGAACCACCCCAACGAAGGGCGACTTTGGATTCCGTGGCAGAGAACTCCACTGGCACTCCATCGTCTGAACAGGTGGAATTTCCGACGGCCAATGTGACCTGGGTGAGAACTGAAGTGCATTCGGTGAGGAGGACTTCATCGTCATCGTCCTCTGCACCTTCACAGACCTCTCCCAGCACAAGGTCCAGTGCGACTGGATCTACGGCAGCGGCTCGGGGCTCAGACGCCATTGATGCTGGCGTGACCCTTGGCTACATGGGGCGACTTGGCGGCTACCTCTCTCGCGGGGAGAACCTGCGATCTGGGCCGGCGTCGAGCGCCACAGAAAGTGAAAGTGAAAGGGAAGATTGGAGGAGGAATTTAGATGTGAGCTCAACCAGCTCAGTTCAGGGGCACGAAACGACACTACCTCCTGGACTTCCTCCTCTACACGAACACTTGGATGAGGTTCCGCAATGGATGGGCATTGTGAGCCAACTCCCAGTGAGGCCGCGTGGTGTGCCGGGTCAAAGTGACCATTTGAGGGATCCTGATTCGGATTCTGACGGCAGTTATGAAGTTTGTGGTTGAAAAACCACTTGAAATGTGGTCGAAGGATCACTTCCTTTTTTCCCTGAAGTTTGACCATACGATGGTCAGGGGGAGTGTGGCAGTTGAAATGGACCACCAACCTCCAAACTTTGTTTGCAGTCAGGTGCACAAAACGAGAAGTGTACTTGAAACCACTCAGGTGAAACTCGCCATTCGATAAACATCGTTTGGCTCAAGGTTGCGCGGAGAAAAGGATCCGTGCAGCACCACACGACACACCCAACCTTCCCTAGAAACAATCAAAACCCGAGCAAACATCTTACAATACTATTCAATAGCATAGGGAACATATAGAAACACTTCAATAGTCTGTCAGTCTTAACAAGTACAAAGGCGTTGTCATCCAAACACCGAGTCTCTGCCACCATTTGCCTGAACCGATACCAGGACCAATGCTGAACCGGTCGACATCGGCGACGAACATCGTGTGTCGGCGACCCACTTCACTCTGTGCCCTGCTGTTCAGGACGTACGTCAGGACGTACGACAGGTGGAACGGAGGCACGTCAAAAGCGGGGAGGCAAGTGCGAACGTTCTGAAGAACTCCAGTCTCTTCCGTGAACTGAAGAACTCCAAACAGCCACGTTTTCTTCTGGAAAACTCCGGACATCTTCACCCAAAGCGTCAGTGATGTGTCCCACAAGTGGATCATAGTGGATCCTACCCTTGAAAGGGTAGGACCCTCCAGTCACCTACCTCGCATGCCAGTCAGTGGATCAGTGGGTCTATGCTATAGGTATACAGTATATAATGTGGAGGTCCCAAATAGATAGAAACGGTTGTGCAAAACATGTTCAAGATTGTTCAAGTGGAATCGACTCGATTCCGGGGTCTCGTAGATCGTCGATTCGGCGTTTCGGGTCCATGTCAGACGCCTCCTGCAGTGTGGCCAAGGTCTCTCCGGGCAAGTCTTCCAAGAGCGAAACGGCTGTGGACCTGAGTGACTGAGTGGCTCCGGCGCCCCGTAGGGCCACAGGGCCGGTGATTGGGTGAGCTGAACAATGGCGAACGGTGAAGGAACCGTGGGAACCCTTGAGGAAGAGCTGAAGGAAACAGCCGGTTGGTTGAGCTTCTTCCTTTTGCTTCCTATCTTATTCAAAAGATAGTCGAAAGTAACCCAAGCTCTGAAATTAATCACACAGATTCCCTCGTGGTTCCGCTGTGTAAACCAGTTCTTCCATCAACAGCTAAGACCCAAAACAAAACAAACAGCTCAAATGCTTCGAGTTGACATGCAAAATGCTCATAGAATTAGCCATCAGAGCGACTGGTCAGTTGTCCAATCCCTCACATCCCATCATCACCACTGATCACGTGTTTCATCAGTGTCACACCGGTTTTCGCGTTTTCTCCACCCTGTCTCCACCCTGTCACCGTGCCCCTGAGGCACGGCCCATCCCCCACAGGCAGCATGGCGCCGAGTCGCTCATTCTCAGTGACCAACTCTTCCTCTGCCCTCGAAGCGGGGTGACCGGTGCATCGAAATTAATACAACATGCGACATACATACTATATGTGAGTGTGTTTTTTCATACGTGAATGGTGCAAGACTCCTCTTGCAAGAATTCCCGTGATAACTCACCTAGTTGTACAATGGGGGATTGGGCCATAATTAGGACCTGCCTGTCAAATACTTCCACAAGGCAAAAACAAAAACGAAAGCTCAGGCCGCAGGCCGAACAAACATGAGACAAGTGCATCATAATCGAGAAAGGAGTACACAATGATAGAGTTTTGTTCATGTGATGCACTTGGGTTGTCTCTTAAGCTGAAACCAAACACAACAACCAGTGGAGCAGAAAACAAACAACAAGAGTAGGAAAAGGATGGAAAGCCAGAAAAGCAAGAATAAAGCAAGACTAACGCAAGGCTTGGAAAGCAACTGATAAATTTGACGGCAACAAAGGCCATAGAAAGCAAAAGCAAATATATACAATATATACAGTAGAACAGGAAAACAATACTATACGCAACAAAAGGACAAGAAGTGGGAAAGAAAAGACAAGGAGGAGAAAAGCCAGGAAGAGCAAAACAAGCGCAAAAGAAGCAGGAAAAGCAAGAAACACATGATAAATCACAGGGAAGCAATGAACAGCAAACGAAAAGCCAGGCAAAGTTTCTTGACACAGGTTGCCATCTAGGGTTGGCCACAGACCCTTTGGGCTTCAACACACAAACACACAGAGTTGATGCAAAACCCAACCTTTTAAACACCAATGGAACCCCAACGGAACCCAGTGGCTGCACTGCACCGCAAATCACGTCATGAAACCAACGTCCACCAGTTCCCGCTGGTGGCACCCGTCGAAGGCTGCTTTGAGGGTGTCCACGAAGAACTCTGAGGTATCTCCAACAAGCTCCTTTCACCGAGCGGAGTGGATCGGTCCCGGCGCCCGTGATTCGCTCATGACCGGGTGATTGGATCGAATGGATCAAGTACAATGGATCCTCCTCTGTAAATGCACTCCATGACCTCATGCGACCTCATGCCACATATTGAAATATATTATTCAGGCAACCCGTGCCCCTTTGACAAGAAAATGTCCTTGACTCTCCCAGATTCGCCCAGTGACTGAATAAACTCAGAGGGTCGAAGAATATAGCATCTGAACGGAGTGTTGGTGTTGTCCTTTTTGGTCCGGGGGACCGACTTTGCCTGATGTTTTCATATTCCAGGGGTCTCTAATACACACCCAGACTATATTCTCAAGATTCCCTTATATGTGAACTGGAAAACCGCGTTTCTTCGACTAAAGATGCAGGGCTTCAGGAGACGACGGTAGGCAAGCTCCCCAGGACGAAGCATTGCCCTGAGAAGACAGAGGTCCAGGGTCTCAAGTTCCTAGATCTTATTTTGAGGAGTGGGAAATGTATCCTCCGTCCACATGAAGCACACATCTGCAATGAATGAACACAGGTGGACAGAGTTTGCACATGGTTGTGTCATGTTGTGTCTCAGCAGAATGCCCCAACTTCTTGCTGCAACCCTCGGTTAGTACAAACATGCAAAAGCACAACAACATGAGGTAGCATGACTTAATTTCCTGAATCTGCTAGTCTCTACCACCCGAAACCATCCGAACCCTTGGTTCTGTTCTTTCCTATTTGATTTCCGCTGGGGACACCAAGCGCACACAAGAAAAAACCGACTTGTTGGACACACGTTGAAACTCACCGAAACGACTGCTCCCCCCTCTGAGATCCCGGGGTCATGTTCTGCGCTCAGACCCCCGGCGGCGGCACTTTGGGACATGGCCTCCCAGGCCTCAGGAGTGGCGTCAGTTTTGAGTGGGAGCATGGCCGAAGGAGGTCGCGCCCCAAAAAAGCTTCTGACACACTCATGGCATGGCCGAAGGATGATGATCCCCCAAAAATTGCATGTCACGGCACCAGTGTGCTTTCTTGGACTATTCCAAGTGGGAACCCAGGGTGGTTGGGTCGCGACGGGTTCGTAAGTAGCTCGTCGAGAGAGTGACCTGCTTCTTAGCCTTCCAGCCGACCACGATCAAAAGGTTGAGCTGTTGTAACGTTGTAGGATATTCAGTGAGCAGTCAACAGAATTAAAACATACCTGGACTATCCAACGGGTGCCCAATTCAATGGAGATCCCGTCAGTGGTGTTGGATAGTAGGGTAGTCCATGGTAGTCCATTGGACACTCGGATATGGTCCTGGTACGTGGGAAATGGGAATGCACCCTGTGACAGCAAGACCGCAGTGATAAAACAGAAGAGCTCCAACCATCCCTACGGATCCAAGTGCCTTCTCAGAAGGTACGACTGGACCCTCCTGGCACCTACATAGCGGTGTCTCCAATCACCTGCTGAGAAGGTACTTGGATCCCTAGGGTATATCCTCAGAAGGTGCCCCAAACCCACCCCAACCATCTTCTCAGGAGGTAGTTGGAGCCCTAGTTAGATCTTGCCAGCAGGGCCACAAAGCGATCTCGGGCGAGTTGCATGAACGACGCGCTCTCGGTACGTGGAAATCAACTAGTTCGTGTCTCGGAAAATGGGTGGAAGGAGCTGTTATTATGGGGTCATGTCCCTTCTTTTCTAATGGTACTTCTGGAGATCTTTGGAGGGTGCAAGTATAAGGAATTCTGCCTAATTCCTAAGCCGAAGGTAGCAACTCTCGAGGAGAGCTGGGGGGAAGAACTCTTGAAATACTCCCCGCAATCCGATGCAGAACGTACTGTTTCGATTGATTTCCCGTTCGCATGTCAGTCACTTCGGACTCTATATCCCCATGACCCACTGTCGGGGGTAGTTCATGGACACCCCTTTTCAACCCATCTTCCAGGCTTTGAGTCGACACCCTGTACGACCTTTATATATATCAACTTATATCTTTTATACGGGGTCCTAGTAGGGGAGGCCTCCAGTTTTGACCTCACAAGAACCAACGTCGCCTCCGCTGGTTGGTTAGCTTGCTTCCGCAGGTGACAAGGCCCGTGCTCCTGGCTCAGCGCTTTCCACTTGGTCCGCGCTTTCCTTCGCCCGCCGTGCGACCTGAAACATGGAGGCAAATCAACGGATCGAGCGAGGTGTCCAAAGTCATACGATTTGACTCTAAAGTTTACCAATCTCGGGGTGATCGGGTGATCAGACTCCACCATCATAGGAAAACCACTCGCAGACTCGCATTTGCGAATGCACCGAGGCCGCCTCTCTGCTAAATGTCAGTCCCACCCCATCCAAAAAATGTGCACTTGAGGCATCCTGTGAACTAAAAAGCAAATTCCAAAGAAGCTTTCCACCATGAGCCTGGCCATCCGCTATGGGCAACTGACTGGACCTTGCTCCTGTTCAGACCCTCTCAGGATTGGCGCCCTTGGAGCTTTTTCCGGCCAAAACCGCATCAAACCGCAACTAAACCCTCGCCTTGTCAGAATCTCCCAACCAGGTCCAGCCGTTGACGGATTGCCTTTTTCGCCCTTTTCTTGACCGAAACCGACGAATTCGGCGCCTGCCTTCGAAG